TATTCGCTCCACTGCACACAAGGTCTGGGGTCTTTGCTACAGACACAAGCCATATGTCTGTCAGATTTTATTGGGAATGCAAATGCTTGGGTTCCATTCTCTGACCGAGGAGACCGAAGGTGGCTGATGCATTTCTTATGGTTACATTAGTCTTTTTGTGTCGGTTTTTGAGTGATTGAGTTTGTCCTGTATTTGTCTCACATCTCACAATTTTGCTGTCAGAGTTTTGTCAGTATTGAATTGTACTGTAACTTTTTGATGCTGCAACGGCCTTGGCAAGCTCCAAAAGATTTAAATTACAGGTAGATCTACCTGGTTAAATAACAGCTACATAAACAATGTGATGCCTATAGAAAAGAATACAGAAACATATAGAAACAGCAGTAATGTACTCTTAATGCACTCCACTGCATGTCCCCAAAGTACAAGACATATGCGCCTCTATGAGCATGCCATTCTCATTCCATCTGACAGATCCATCTGCCTCTTGTCTCTCTGATTTCAACTGAAGCATCTAAATACACATTGTTAATCCAGAGCAGTCAGAACAATCAAATATTTTGTGAAGAATTAAATGGAAGCATTGGCGCTATAGGACTTTCTAGTTATTCACAGGATGTGAAATATGTGACTGTATGCATTATGGTGTGCCTGAGTTAATATGTGTTGTGCACAGCCATTCATGGTGTTTTGATCCCTGTGTCAAGTATAACTTTAAAACTTTTTAACTAATCGTTATATTCCCCTTTTTATTCAGTCTATTGTTTCTGACATTTGGAAGGTGTAATGATTGGCTCGTGGGTTACTGACAATAGATAAAGTGGAACAAAGAGGACAGACATATTTTTCTGATTGCACATGCTCATTAGCAAATATTAGCCTGTCAATAAAAAAAGTTTAAGCGGACAACACATTACTTATGCTGTCTTGTGTGTGGCACACGGAGCTGACAGTGGCACCATGATCTGTTCTAGTAGGATTAGCAAGTGTATATTATATTACTTTTATGAAAACATACATACCCAGCTGAGTCACTTACACATACTCTTGAGCCAGGTTTAAACACATGGCACAGTAGCAACAAATCCTAATCTCGCTCATTCTTGGGCCTCTCCAACTTGAAACTGGACTCCTTTCTTTCCTCTATGTCATTTCATTCATTTTACCGAGTGTGCTCTTGAATAGAAGCTACAGCTTTGGCTTAGTGTCCCAGACTGTCAGATTTGGGTAAATTGATCCTGCCTCCCTGTTCTGTCTCAGAGCCCTGGCCTGATCAGGAAAACACCCATGACAGTTTGGCTAGCAGCCTTGCTAAGAAGTGAACCCTATTTAAAACAGCAACATTGCAAATTAGTGTTTGAAGGTTTTAACATGAGGGGAAAAAAACACTGCATTCTCTCTGAGCTTCAGTTAAAACTTTTTATTTTTTATTTTTTACAAGATCTGCAAGTGGTATTGGACACTATTTAGAGGGACCAACTCTCAGAAAACCTGTCTTCCATCAAGAGGGCATGGTGCAGCATTTCAGCCTGGGCTAATCAGCCAGTAAGAAGCAGGCTGGGATACATACCCAGAACCAGCCTGGCAGATCTGTGAGCACACACATGCACACAAATGAGCCGCTAAGGAGCTGATATATCAGTGAACATGGTGAGGAATTAATCAGACCACACCCTGTTTCCTTATCCACAGCTGTGACTGAACAAGGGAGATGAAAAGGTCAAACCCATTGGTCAGGATGGGAGGACTGGTGAGGTTGGTTTAACCTTTAACCTCACGGTTGGATGAACGAGGAGACATCTGACATCCAGGCCTGAAAGGTCACTTTCTCTCAGCATACCGCTGTGAACCATCTTCATTCAGGGCTGCATCACAATCACAGACTTCGTCTGAGCTTGGGTACTTGAAGGAAGTGTTAAAACCAAGGAGAGCAGAGAGTTAGAGGAGATGTCTGATGGAGATGGAAAGGGGGACTTTGTGAGTGCAATATAGCCATTTCCCCCCTCTTGCCTGGGGCCCAGTGTAGATGTGGTGGACCCAGCCCCAGACGCCACTCCGTGGTTTGGCACGCTCTGTATTTCAGCCCTCTCACTGTTTCCAGCTGAACCAGCTCCCATGCAAACACATGGGCAACCGGTGGGTTTTCTTATTTAGTTGTCGGTCAAGAGTACTTAATAATATTCAAAAAGACAGTGCGACATATCATCCCGTGCTTGCCAAAATATGATCCCCCTTCTTTTTTCCCCTCTTTTCTTCTCAACATTTTCCCCCCTCTACGTTTCGGGAAGAATGCATACAGATGAAAAGGAACAGATACACAATGGTGCAATGTTGGCTGACACTTATGAAAGTATAGAACAGACAGAGAGTAGGGTAAGTCCAGAGCACAGAGGATGGGGATTGCTTTCAGGAGACTGGAAGCGGAAATATTTCAAATACAATGGCCTGTAATGCAGCAAAAAAGCATAGGCAGTGATGTGGCGTATGACTTACTCAGATTGATATGTCCTCACTGACCCAAATGCTCTCATCCCTGCCTCAGCTTTTTGAAGTTAAATAAACAGTGTGTCACAAGATCCTCCTTATACCACCCAAGTGCTACAGTGTGTGAGAGAGTCTCTGTGTGTGTCCGCAGTGCTTGTGTCTACAGTTTGATTTGTGGGTCTGTATGCATACTTATTGTATGTGTGGACACAAAGAGACAGATAATGTGTGTTAGCGTGCACAGGAATGTGTTCGCCAACGAGCAAGCGTGGATGTGTGTGACATGTCTGCAATGACAATGGCGGGTGACAAATAACGCTGACGCACGCTGTCCCTGGTCTTGATCCTGCTACAATAAAAAAAAGAGTTGGTCCTTTGAACATTTTAATTAAACTAAACAGGACCATCCCCACCCAGGCCTATGAGTTATGTACATCTGAAGACAAACAAGACCATCTTTTACAGGGTAGACATCAAATACATGTCTTTTTTATGTCACCCTGGGCCTGCATGTTGACTTTCATTATTTCTAAAATCCATCTGGAATTTTGATGGGCATGTTTTGAAGGAAAAGGCCTTGAAACCACAATGCAGGGATGTCTTGAAACAAAGGTCTCTGCGGTTTTGTCTGTTTCTCGTGGTGAACAACAGCCCGGCAGTCTCTGTGCTCAGATAGCTCATGTCTGTAATTTTAGTTTATGCCATCATTATTACAACACGTTAGCCGTTTTTCATGTAGTTTCTTGGAAAAAAAAAATAAAGCAGAATTGATGGTTTATGTGTTCTTTTAAGAAACAGTACTAAGACCATAAAATTTAAAGAAAAGAGAAAGGGGTTTCATGGACTTTTAGACTAGCAAGGCAGAGGTTTGTTTCAGTGACATGATTGTTTTTTCATAGAAGTTATGTTGGGGGGGCTACGGTAAAATCTAAGACGAGAGTGACTTAATCAAAAATAATTGACATTTTATTACATTCTTCACACAGTGAGACTTTGTTCTCATTAACTTCACATATTTAGCTGAATTTTGACTGAGAAAACAATGATAAGTAGGTGTTTAGTTCAGTTCACTTGTAGTGAAAGTTCTATCATTTCTACCCTTATTATGAATTTGAATCTAATAGTAAGAAGAATCCTACTTTAGGACATGTAAGTGGTGTTGATTTGAAAAAGATTGGTTTAAATGTCTAAGATGGAAGTGGCCTTGTCACTAAAGAACTTTGCTTTTACGACACTCTTCACATGGGACGAGTTTATGTCAGAAGTTTAGTGGAATTCATAATCTAAGTAAACCGCTGATAGACTCTAGTTGTCTGTCATGTGGTGACAATTCTGGAGAGGCCCTGCAGCTTTACATAAATGTGAAGCTGCTGCACGAAAACAGGAGGCTAAGGCTTACTATAAAAAATAAAAAAATCAAGCGTGCTCAGAGTGTCAGGAGGAAAAAAAAAATCCTTAATTCCCACAATAAGATGAAAACAGTTGTGCAGACTGACCACGATAATTCATCCTTGGTTCGGAAAGAACTGTCATGCAGCAGTCCCATTGCATGAAGAGATTTATCTCTGTCTGTTGAACTAGATCAGTTCAACAGTGCCGTGTTGCCACCAGAGGGAGTCTTCTTAGTCAGACTATGGTTCCCAAAGGAGTAGATTGCACATTCTGAACATCTGCTCAAAATTCACATCACTCTGACTCAAAGCCTCAGAAATGGGAATATTGATGTTTTGTTTATGTTGTTTTGCTCATGCATTGTACTGTTAATCAAAGTGACTGACAGAGCCTCACTGAAACCAGAGTCATTTATCAGAATTCCAGTTCATTATTATTAGTCATTATTAGTCATGCAGTGAGGGACTTTTTTTTTACTCAAACAGCTGGAAAGCCATTTCTCGTCTGTTTGATTTTATGGGACTCACTGTTGTGGTGGAGCCCATCCGGGGAGCCCACACTGGTGGGGCAATGCCCAGTGTTGCAAGCGCCTATGGGCTGCGGGCCTATAAAAGGCAATTTCACTTGGTTTCTTTTAGTTTTCTGTACAACAACTACACGTGTTGAGCTCAGTCTGGAAGCCCGTCCCATTCCCTGCATATCCATGCTGGAGGAGGAGGAGGAGGAGGCGTACAGCCCTTTTGTTACCTGTATTAGACTACCTGGCTGTTGTAAGTTAGTAACAGAGTCTGAGTTTAAGATGCCTGCAAAAAAATAGATACAGCGAGCAGTGTACAAACACTTTAAACAAGCGAAAATCCACAGGGTTTATTACGCACCGCGGTATGCGCAGCTAGTTCGTTCTACCTGCGAGGCGCAGCAAATGGGAATTTTTAATTAGGTTCTACCGTCTAAGTAAGGACGAATAGGAGGCACTTCCTCCAAGAACTCATTCACCTTTTCAAGTCCGACCCTCTCTCAAGTTTCATTTTGGAGTTCTTAGCCACCTTTCAGGTCGTCATCAGCATCTCACCTGTCCCGGTGGACCATGGATTTCACACGGTCGAACATTTCCAAGGAGCTTCAGCTTGATGTCGCGGAAAATACGCGCTATACGTGCATCTGGAAGGGTTAGGAAACCTGCCAATGTGAACGGAAAGCAGCGTGGCCACTTTGTGTTACAGTGCATGGCCTCTGGACAAAGTGGTAACGATCATGCACAAACCCCTCCGAAAGCGGAGTCTCTACGTGTTCCTGTGTTTTGGCATCATATACCTCAGACTTGGGTGAGTTTTTATTACCTCTCATTACACGCATGAACTGTTTTCCTCACATGCGCACGGCTGAATGTGAAAATCATTGCGACACTGACAAATAAACACGTTAGAAGGAAGCTTCGGCTGCCCTCTGACCTCAAACTTAAGTATGATGTGAAAAAATAATTTTTATCATGTGTATTTAAAAAAAATATATCAAAAGCAGCACACCCAGACGCCTGCACCTGGGGAATGTGTTGTGCGTAAAAGCAGCAGATCGGTGTGATCGGGTCTCCTGCCAACAGACAGTAACTGTGATCGATTCATATTCACTGTCAGAGGGTGAGTTCACCTCATGAGACTCCTTCCCCTTTGTGGCACAAGATCATTTGAGCCGCTGTCTCCGCTCCAAATCCTGCTCACCCCTGCATACCTTCATTAATAGCGGCAGACTGAGTTGTATTTCCACATTCCATTGCCCAGACGGAGTTTTTACCTGTTTTGCAATAGCTCACCTTGATGCATAAACACAGAAGGACGACAATCCTTTCCTTCTTTAACGCAGTGCCCCCTAAGATTGAGCATATGAAGACGTCCGGGAAGACGCACATGACAAAGAACCGTGCGTTTTTGCCTATATTGTGCGCGCATGGTGGTTTATTGTTGTATAATTGTTTGCTTGTGAAACGCTAACTGAGCTGAATGTTTAGTTGTGATGATGCCCCTGCTGAGCGTAAACTGTATCAGATTAAAAAAATACTTTAACTAACAGGTAAGTAAGCAACAGTGTGTACCTGGAAAGTTAGATCAACAGAAGAATAAGTTATTTTAACTTGTTTTCACACTGCTGTTTGTTTTTATGCACCGCTGCATTCGCTCTCTGGATTAACTGCAACCAATTACGCACGAATTAGTTTAATTAGAAGACTTTTGCTTCATTTTCTGCTGCCACCAGTCACGCATTTTTACTTTCAAAATACACTGATCTGGCATATACATCTTTAAGACCTGATTTTATAGTGCTTTCTGAGACTCCTGCAGCCACAGTGAATCAAACAACACAAGTGTCAGTCCTCCCTGTAAAGCCTGTAACCGACTTAGAGTTCCACATATGCTCATATCACATTACAGTAGCTCCATTATGGGCTAAAAGTCACCTATCTTCGTGTTTACTAATCCCGAGCAGTTAGCTCATTCCTTCCATCCTTTTACTCGGGCTAAATCTTTCATGGTACCCTCTTCATTTACAATGACTGGAGCCTGCAGGTGTTGAGTGAGTCACGATGCTGAGGCGATAAAAAAAAAAAAAAGAACCCTGCACTCACTAAACTCTGCGCCAAAATCTTTAAGTATTTTATTTCTCTGCTCAGATCCAATCTCGGTTAGCAGGGGTGCTATTTTTATACGTTTGCTTTTACGCTGATTTTTTATCAATCCTACAATCTGAGGAAGTTCTCATTTAATTTTCAGACACCCGAGTCTGAAAATGAATCTGAATGTTAGAAGATGACAGCCATCAAATCCGATCAGAGCGCAGCAGACAGAGCAGACAGCAGGAATATTATAGACGCCTATAGGAATATTATAGTCTTACCACAGGAACTAATAAGGTCACTGAAACACATATTTGAGTACCACAACCATGCCTCATGTTCCTCAAGAAATATGATAGGAATATGTACCAGAGGACATAATACTGTAAATGTCCCGAGAATGTTATTATGATATTAAAAGAATAGAACAGCAGATAAGGACGTTTCTTGTCAGCGGTATTATAACGCTTTATGCTCACTGTCACAGACGAGATCATATCTGTTACGTTAGAAAGACTTCGTTGCCTTAATATGACACCAACTTGTTGATTCAAAACGAGGCATCCCGCCAAAGAAATGTGCAGATTTTTTTTTTTATTGTTATTATTTCGCGCGGAGCTGTGATGATGAGGCTCAAGCAGCTCCAGCGTCTATGTTTGTTTATTTTTGGCTGGATGGTGGGTTGGGGTGGTGTTGGAGGGTGTGTGTGTGTGTGTGTGTTGGGGGGTGGGGGGTGATGATGATGAATGAAACCTCCTGCACGTCCAACGGGGATCGGATCAGTGTCACCCTATTGTCCCGTTGTGGCAAAGTGGGCGGATAGCAGTGTCTCTCCCTGCCCAATGGCAGGCACGACTCTCATGAGAGTGGAGAGAGGCACTTTTCTGCCATGCAAAATCCCTAAAACCATCATCATTCCGGCTCGGGAACCCACAGTACTGTGTAACAGCCTCCGCTTGCTGAGAGATGACGGAGCCAATCTCAGCGCACACACGGCCCTGGGAGCTTGGAGCTGCGTAGAGCCACCGCACCAAAGACACGGAGACGCACAGCAAGTTCTTTTTTGATCTTGTGCGAAACGGACTTAAAGCCGGGAATTAAGGGAGTTTTTCATCCTGTCCGCGTCGTCTCACTCAATCCGAGCGTGGCCATTTGCTCAATGTCATCATGATCATCCTCTCGTCGCGCAGTGTACTGCTGTCAGTCTACTATCCGCAGATCTTCCTGATCCTGACGAGTGGCAGCTACCTGTAAGTTTGAGCCAATTAACGGCTCCATAATTAACTTCGGAGACTGCGCGCTCTCATCTTCAGCAACACAAAGACGCACGGTTTTTGGTTTTGCTCCTGTACAAGCTTCTGGCTGGACAACGAGCTGTATTTCCTTTGTCTTAATTAAACGCCGATTCAGAGATGATTTTGTTTAGTTTTCCGCATCCACAGATTGAAGACTCAGCTGAAGTTGTTCAGATTGTGTCAGCAGACTGTAACGCGCAGAGAGCAGGCATAACTAAAGCGCAACTTAGCCTGTAAATTTAATTGAATTCTAGGCATTTATCACACATCTCTTAATGCTACACAAACGTAAACTCCAACTGCGAACGCTCAAGAGTGGAAACATCACTCGAGAAAACGATCCACGTGGGAATGTACTAATTAGGTGAAAAGCTCAACGCTCTAATGGCACATCCACGCGGACGAGCATGTGTTGTGAGTAAGCACCGGTGGTTTGTCTTTAGCTGCTGTATTGCAAACATTTTGCAGGATCAGAAAAATAATACTTTTTGGGAAGTGCTACATGGATACATTTTGGCCACAGAGTGGCAGAGATGTTCAAGACAATTGCATGCGCAGAGATGTATTTCACTGTGAGGAAAATTTAATACAATCTGTGCACTTTTACGCATGCGAGCACCGTTAACCTGTCAGAGCGTGTGAAAGATTATCGTCGTGCATTACCTCATCTCTCGTTAATTCAGACTATTTCAATGTTATCGTTTCAACCCACATCTTAAAATATCCTCCTGCACCATGCACGTGATTGACACTATAATGCACTGCGGCTTTGAATTAAACTAGAAATCTCTTGAAGGAGAATACTGGCTTTTCTTAAAAGTTTCCAAAATAATTACTCACCCATGCTCCATCGCTCCTTCCTTTTCTGCCCGGAGACCCCAAACCTGATTCTGAAATAGATGTGGTTTTTGGTTTTCAGTTAAAAGTGGGCTACACTGCTAAGTATAGTGATGGCTTTCACATCAAAGCTACATACCATTGTTTGTTTTGATTATTTAAGAATATTTTCTGTTCGGCATGAACCGCAGAATATGTTATGGGAAGTATATTTCAATATGGATCCCAAATAAGACAATGCAGTTTCCTCGAAATTACTAAAAATAATATTTTGGGTTGTTACAGGGCAAAATTAGCAGATCTGTGGCAAGTTATCTGTCCATTTAGAGCTGAGGGGGCACTGCACACCTCACACTCCACTGTGGAGGAATCTCTCACTTAATATTCCAAAGGCATAAACACTGCTATTTTCACTTTTGCCTATATCACATTGACCTAAGCAGCATGTGCGTGCAGATATGGTTTAATAGTTTGCAGTTTAACATTTTAGCTTTGAGTTAAACAGCTGCGGTGCACGGCTGATCTTAGACTCATTTATAAATGAGCAGCTAAAGAGGAAAATCATATTCAGCACTAAAATAACAGCTAATTTCCTGCTCTTGGAAAAAGAAGAGTATTTATTCACTTGATTTAGTTAAGCTGTGTCTCAGGCATTTTTGTGAGTGCATTCCTCGGGAGAAGATGCATGCCTGAGAGCTTAATAGTGTGTCAGTAAGGTTCAAAGTGTTCCATGTGATGGAGTAGGTGGCTGTAAGCACACTGTATGCCGTGACGTAGACTATAGTTTCTTGTATGGCCACACAGCACTGGCATGAAATCTGTAGGCTCCTCGCCGCTGATACTGCCAGCGACTGAAGTTCCTCCAAAGGAATTCATTTATCCAATGTTTCTCTGACTATTTAATACTAGATGTTTGGCGTTTCTATTTTGTGATTAATATAACATTGACTTTAATGCATGTTTGTTTCAAAAAGGAACTGAAATTATTAACAAAAAAAAAATGTGCATCAAATGATTGTCAAAACCCTGGTGCACAGTAAGTTAACTAATTCATTTGCAGCTAATTGCACAGGAACACTCAACACTAATAGCGTCTAAATGTACTGTGTGTTTTGTGTGCAAGGCTCCGACTTGGCAAAAATTCCTGCCACCTGTTGCTTTTCAATTAACACACAAAAAAAAACTCCACTCATCTTTTTACAGCATCACCGCCGATCCACATTCAAATGGTGTTTTCAATTATCAGCTGGGCAGTTTTGTTTATTAACACAGGACGCAAAACGTTTTAATTATGCCCCATATTTTGCATAAACGTGACGGCCATTAACTCCGACTGCAGCAGCTACACAGATGATCCTGTGACAGTTCGTCTATCTGATGGGAGATCTGTGCGACCGTGGGCGAGCTGTCCCCAAGCTGCTGGCATACACACAGAGTATACGCTAAGCAAACAGAATCGCATTTGTGCACTTTGATGATGCGGGGATTTAAAAGCTTAGCTCTGGAATTCTCTGTTTGGTGTTGTCTGATGGCTTGGGTAGCCCGTGGTAGACTGGGATCCTGTGAATTAGCAGGTGAAGGACATGAGAAAACAGCCAAGAGAGGAGGTTACTAGGAGTTGTGTTTGTCAGACGTGAAAATATCAGTGTTGGATTTTCATCAGGTGACTGAACTATCAGAGATATAAACGGCTCATTTTATTGCCTTTGGATTTATGCAAACAAATCAATCCTATTTGTCCTTAACATTCATTATGCAAGAAAGTGGATTTCTCCAGTTGCACATTACTTGTCTTAATGAGCCTGCCCTTTTGGTTTGTACAGACTGGATGTCATCGTTGCCATGAACAACCACATATACAGCGGAGGGTCACAGAGGGTCAGAGGAGTTCAAGCCTCTTTAACAGCACAGAGAGCAAAGAGGGACTGAAAGCAGCAGCAGGCTGCAGAGTGTTTACTGTGGACACGGTATGCACCTGATGAATGTGTTGGGAGTATTCATTTTTAGCTGCTTTAGTTTTTATTGAAGTTGCGGCCTTCAGTTTGTAGCTGGTGTCGCGCCGCGCGTGTTTTGCGGACCGTAATGAATTATGCGCTTTGTCCAATCAACATCTGGCTCATGGTTTTTATTTGGAAATACACATCTTAACGTGTTTACTGTAATTGGACAAATCTTCTTAGCTCTCTTTTGTTGTTACTTTGAGAGTGGGGTTTGCAAAATCTAAAGTTTACACAATGGCACTTTCCTTTTATACGCTTTGTTGCGCTCCCCTGACTGCAAGACCAAGAGAATGTGTGCAGCTCTCCGTTTGGTAACAGATACTCGTCTCGTGGCCGTTGGGATTTATTTAAACTTATGCGTTTGCAGTTGAGATTTATGTTGTTCTGTGTCTGAAACTTTAGCAAGAATCGAAAAGAGAACGTGCTCGTCTGAGAGTGATTTCTAATAAACAATCACATCTACGGATTTAGTCAGGGGTCTGAGTGCTGTGAACTACAATCTGCATCCACAGGACGTTTCTTCAGTCTCTCTTCTTCTTCTCTTGCTCAGTGTTTCTCCCCCTTGCCCGTTCTTCCACTTCTCCCCCATACACACTGCCATTGCTTTTCGCTGACACACAACTTGCCTGCGTTAGTTTGCCCCGTTTGTGGTCAAGCCTTTGGAGGTCGACGTCATACTTCAAAGGCGGTGTTTGCCTCCACGCTCATTTATGGCTCCCCGTCCCTGACATGTTTGAAAAGTATGTATCTACATGGTTTCGAGGGCTATAAACAGAATCTTGGAGAAAGTCGTCGCTTTGTTTAGTTGTAATCTGTTTTGGCTTTCTCAGCGGTTGCAAAGCCATCTCAAACATATGCTTTTATATTATCACGTCGAGTGATCAGACGTGTCGCAGTCTCGGAGGAGAATTTGGGAGGAGGCATGTCGATTACTGTACGACACATTAATACCCTGCAAATTGAGGCGACCAGTGTTGAAAACCTTACATATTTCAATGCAAACCAGTCTTAGGATGTGGCTAAAGTAAAAGCAGTCCCTTGGAATTTATGGGCAGCACTTTACACCCTGAGTAAGTTCCATGCACATAATTACACAAATCATAGGAAATAATATTTTTTGTGACATTTGGTTACATTTACAGCATAAGACACTGGGCAAGTGTATGTACAGTATTTACATAAGAGTCTGGCAACTGTTCACGCCACCATGTTACCTAACAATTAACACAAAAACCCCAACTCAGTCCTCAAAGTCCCGTCATCCAAACCAATGTGGAATTGCCTTTTCAGTAGTCAAATAAGCATCTTGTTTTCTCTCTCTGGGCTGTTTTAGCAAGTTTCCTTGTGTTTTTAAATGTTTTATGTTGGATTAAGTTTTCAGCTTTTTGATTTACCTCTAATCCATTAAATAGCAATACTTTCATGCAGTACAGCTTTCACTTCACTACGGAATGTACATCAATCACCGGTTGAATTGAATCCTGTGCTGGAGACTCTCACAAAAGTGAGTCAGTTTGACCATCCTTTGGAAGTTCTAACTGAGTTTGTTTGTGTGTGTGTGTGTGTGTGTGTGTGTGCTGTGTCTGGATGCATGTGCTGCTGTGTAAATCTGATGTGTGTGTGTGCACGGATGCATGTCTGCGTGTGTGTGGTGGTGTGTTTCTCTCACCTCGGCAGGGCCCTGTCCTCGGTGGTGGCTCTGGGTGCCAACATCATCTGCAACAAGATTCCGGGGCTGGCACCTCGCCAGCGGGCCATCTGCCAGAGCCGCCCAGACGCCATCATTGTTGTGGGCGAAGGCGCCCAGATGGGCATCAATGAGTGTCAATACCAATTCCGATATGGACGCTGGAACTGTTCAGCGCTGGGAGAAAGGACAGTCTTCGGTCAGGAGCTGCGAGTAGGTCAGTCTGGGTTCTTTCACCAAAGGGAGAGGGCGCAGTGTGTGATTGTGTTTGTGCTCTCCTGTGTGGCTGTCCCTGTGAGCAACTTTGTGAGTCTTTGCTGCTGGAGCTGTGAGAATATATTTTTGCAAAGTCACGACTTGTTTCTTTAGTGAACACGTTTTTTTCAGTGTCAAAGTTTTGGAACAGGGCTTTAATTTAGGTTTATCGTAAGGTTAGCTTTTTGTTATTACTTTGCTTAACTTCTTCGAGAGCAAATAGCGGCTTTCAGACAGGACGCGGTGTGTGCTGCGATGGCCGCGGGCTTCAGTGCACAGCTTCTCGCTATGCGGAGTTTTCAAAAACTTCCAGCGGGACGATGTCACCTTCCTGTTTGTTGCTAGCACTTAAACAACGAAGGTGCATTTGTCCCGAGCTAAGGTAGCGAGCGTTAGCACTAGCCTTGCTAGTACGCAGCAAGCGTTAGCATTAGCCTTGCTAGTATGAAAGCTTTCCGCCCAGAGTCTCAAGGCAACTGCAAAGTTGTGTGAGAATTCAGTCTAACGCGGCACCGGCTTTATTATTATTATTATTATTATTATTATTATTATTATTATTATTATTATTATTATTATTATTTATACTTCCCCTTTGACCTCCGTCCAGTCCAACATGCCTCGTTCCTATTGGCTGCACCATCATACGTCACAGCACGCAGGAGTCAAAGTTCAACTTTGACTGCTGCGAGCGCGCGCGCTCTCTCTCACTGGCGCTTTGCGGCATGTTGTTGTTGCGCGTCGCAAGCAATTGAAATGAATGGGTTTCAGAGCGCAGCGGCACCGCTGCCGAGTCCTGTGTGAAAGCAGCAGAGATTTGATGAAACTCTTTAGCATTAACTCTTTCCCTATTTCTGTGCATCAGTTAGGTTGTGATAATATAATTCAATGTATCTTAATGTGAGCTTTTTTTTTTATAGTTAAGATAATTAAATTGGATTTTCATTCAAGAGGAGGCCACAAAAATACTTAATAATACAAGACTGAGCTTAGTTGATGATCTACATTAGTAGCACAAATTCATGTAAAGTAATTGCAGTCAAAGTATGAAAGACCATTACACGGTTGTTAGTACCTCTGGCCCTGGAGCTCTGTCTAAGTTGCCTGCTTTTGAGATTGATTTGCTCCTAAATGTTATTTCATTTGAGAATGGAAATACCACAATATTAGTTACATCAATCAGTGCAACAAAGACCAGAATTTACTTTTAAAGTGACTCAGCAGAATATCCAGGTTGATGAGGTTAAGGGTGTAAATGTTCTGTAATGATACAGTCATTGCAGGATATTACAGGTTTGTGTTTGTGTGCGGTGCTCATAGCAATGAATAACTGAAAACACATTGAAACAAGGGGATCATAATTTGGATGTCGTGTGTATGTGTGATGCTAAGCAGAGAGTAAAAACTTTTTCTGCAGTCTGTGATCGTTGATATTCATTTGGTAATGATAATGTAGTTGACAATGATAATACCAGCGATTTTCTTTTTGAAAAGGAAACAGAAGTTACATAATGTGTGTTTTCCAGCCATCTTATTGTCTCGGTTTTATGAAATGGTACCAGAAGAGTATCAAAAATGTGGTACCAGCCCCCGACCCTCTGAACCCCATGAAATATGGCTCTTCACAAGCCAAACCCAAGCTGCACACATCACACAGTTCAAACTCAAACCAGTAACACACAGTCTCTTTGACTCTCTATTGTATAACCATTCACGTTGGCATTGCTCAAGAGGATTTCACATACTGCTGATTCCACCCCATCTTAGTTGATGATGTTGTATTTCTCCATCGCGCTCTGGTTTCTGTTGATGTAGGTTCTGCAGCGAGCCTGCTGGTTAGCAGCATGCAGACCATTGCTGGCTAAGTCAAAGTTATGGAAAAGCTACAGAAAAGCACTGAAGCCCTAATGGGGAAAATGTATGGTTGAAAAATGATATCGCAAATGAGGAGACAACTAATGGTGTTATTGCAGAGAAGTCATGTTGAACCAAAATAGATGGACACATCTGTTGTTAATCGGACTAAATTGGTTGTGTCCATGCCTGGCTGCTTCAGGAGCGTGTGCACATGCATGCGGGAAAAGGCCTGAAGGAGGCAAACATTTACATTTATGATGCATTTGTTTGAGAGACTTGGCATTCTGCAAACTTTTTTGCATCGCCTTTGTTTTACAGAGGCTTTTATATATTTCCTTTCATTTAGAAGATGCTTTGTTGCCATTACGTTGCGGTTGGGCTGTGCATTTAATCCAGTGGCTCTGTTAACAATCACTCCTCTTAAGGAGTAGCTGAATTAGCTCCAGCCCCCTTTACAAAAGCATTTTTTTCTTTGTTGTGAATGTGGCGCTTTCTTTTGTAATGGAGCTCATGCTGTTTTCCTCAACACTTAACATCCCCTTTACACTTCCTTTTGCTGTGTTCTTTCATACCCTTTTGAAGCACTCAGATTGAGAAGTGATATTTGGCAGTGGTTCATCGGAAGCATCTGTGCGTCCCCTCTGCTTGTTTGTGTAATAGACGTTGATGTTTTTATGTATTGCCTCATTTACCTAAATTGTATTCTTAAAAAAATACATTTAGAACGTCTAATTTATACAAATCTAGCTCTGCTTTTGGGTTTGGAAAGCATTGTCACTCATCTTTGTGTCTTTGATGGACACGCAGTGTCCATTTACTGCATGTGGTCTGTCAGATTGAGGCCACTGAACCCTATGAGGTCTCTTCCACTTTGTGTCAGCTATATGACATCTACATCCCATTCAGGAATGGCGTCATCCGAATTTCATGCTCGCTTTTGCTTTTCTTGTTTGGTTTCCATAGTAGATCTGCACAAATAAATTCTTAATGTGCCCGCACTGAGCACATCACTGTTGGTGTCCAGTTATGGTCAGAGAACGATGGCTGCTGGGGCTGCCAGGATTGTTCAATAATGATGAGACTCGGTGGCCTTCTCAATAAAGTATCCCAACGATGACGTCTGTCTTTAGACCAACATGGAACTTGATGTCAGTTAGGGTTCCCTAGGCAGATTTAGAAAAGACACTTTTGATTTTGTTTTCGATGAATAAAGAAAATACCAAGGAATCAAGAACATTTTTTTGTTTTTGTTCGAGAGGATAATCACCACAAACTGGCCTTTTTATTATCATTTTTGAACCACACACAGAGTTAATGTGCCGTATATAGAATGCTGAATTGCATCGATTCATGTGAAACTGCTGTTTGATAAATCAAAAGAACACATCTGACAGTGGAACTTAAATTTGACCAAATGCTTCACTCCAAAACGTCGTGTTTTATGACCCCATCTGTGTGTCCGTTGCCGTGGCACCACATCCCCTTTCATTCTGTATCATGAAAGTTCTGAACGTAGTAAGAAATTTTGCTGCTTCTTTTATTCTGAAAAAAAGTTCTAATCAGAGAGCTTTGAGAACAATGGCTGTGGTAGGTTCTCCCGTCTCCCCTTGAAGTGAATGGACTTATTCCTCCACTCATCTGGGGGAAAAAGGAGAGAACGTTGAAGTGTTTGTGCCTCTTGACAGTGTTGACATATTTAAAGAAACCCATGGCTCTGGTAAACTGTCCAAACAGCCACTTACGCACTGCTTTTGTGATCAGGATGTGGATTTGCGGTTTTAAAATTTAACACTAATCCTGAAGAGGTGAGAAATACAAGTTTAAGAGTTATTTTCCTTCCATCACTAAATGCATTGATAAGTGACAGATTAAAACAGCCGACCACAAATATTACTGTGTAATAAAAGTGGTAAATTGAGAAAAAAGCAAGCCAAAAAAACACTTTTGCACACATGAACTGTGAATTTATCCGCTGACTGGTACATTAGTTCCACAGACAATAAAGCTGTGTTGAATTGAACGGCATTGCCTCATTCTGGACGCATGCAATGCAGCAACACTCTTCTGAGATTCTTTTTTTAGCTGCACGGATCTGTTGAATGTTATGCGATGATTGAATTTCGAGATGTATTGCATGCATATTGTATTGCACATTAAGGATAATGAAAATGATCGCTGATTACTGCTATTTGATCACATCATGCTTTAGGAGTTGACTGAATATTTCGAGTGACACCACAAAGACTCAGATATCTAAACATGACCTTTCAACATAGCTCAGTTTCAGTTTTTTTATCCATTGATTGAAATAAGCAATCAGATGATGAAACAAATGACTACGTGTAAAGTAAAGTATCTGAAATGTTTATTGTAATAACTTGCATCATCTACCTGCAAGTGCTCACAGCCAAGGTGGTCAGATGTCTGTCTGGGTCTGTGCTCACACTAATGTCACACCTTGATCTTATTAAAGTTCTGCCCTGTTGAGATGAACCTTGTTCCAGCTGTGCCAACCACCATCACTATATTTACTTATCAGAAATAATCGGTGGGGTGTGCAGGCCATTCCAGCTGCCTTGTGTTGAAGCACATAGTCACATAAATACTGATGCGTGGTTGGGTACTGCTGTGTTTTGATGTTTTTGTCAGTGTCACAGAGGAGGCTGTCGTGGTTGATTTCTGCCTTTCAGAGCTTCAGCAGTAACATAGTTTATTCCAGAATACAGTTAGTGGACCTTTTGTATGGTGGTTATATGCACACAACAAATCAGCTTAGTGGAAGAAATCTAACTGGACCTGAACAACGGAGTTTGTGGATGAGGATAGCTACTGTTTTTTGATTTCTAGGGTTGAATACTATATTATTTAAACATTTATATTGACTGCAGGATGAAGGTGTGTGATCAGCGATTGCACCTTGAGACAGCGAGCTGTGAGGTGGTAAGGGTATTGGATGAGTTCTGGCTGTGCTGGTTCGGTTTAGCAGCATCCCACTAGGTCATCGTGGGAGACCACAGACACCACAGCTACTGCAGAGCCCCTCTGCCATTCAGACACTGTGGAAAAGCGGACGACTGAATTTTCTCTCAACACCTTAATTTCGAAACT